AGCCTGACTTCTCTAAAGGAACAATTAAGAATATCAGAAAAAAGGCTCACTTAATTCAACTGCAAATTCCCTTATAGGTCTAGGTGGAATACACTCCGCCCCCCACCCCCGGCTTTATTTGGTTTTACCTTTTTCAGTTTATTATATACTGTACCTCCCATGGCTGAATTTGCGGAATACTATCAACAGAAGGAAGATAGACAGGAAGAATGTCATAATCTACAGGTGTTACCCTCAGGCAATGCTGGTGAATTGGCCATTTATTGCATTAGCAATACCAACATGATCTGAGGACAGAAGACCCTGAACTGGAACATTAAGTATTAATTATTATTACCCATATTTGCCACGGTCTTATGCGTATGCCCACATGCGTGGTTCGTTACACTGTAAGTGCTTAACACAATTACAGAAATAAATGGCCTTGAGTTTAGCAACTTCCCTCTCAACTGCATTTCTAAGTTTCCTCCATTCAGCAGTGTTATTAAAAAAGGGCAAACTGTCTCCTGTCAATTAAGTCCCGCAAAGCTTGAGTAACCGAAGGTTTATCCGATTTATACATCTTAACTACTTTAATTGGGAAAAACTCATTAATAGCAGTGTCCAGAAGCTCAACTTTATCCATTTCCCTTGGGTGGATGTACAGCTTGTGATATCTGTTCAATCCTGGCTGGAAATCCAGCGCCCGAAGTTGCAAATTTTTGTTGGATAAAATGGACAACTTTGATTTTCTTCACTGTATTATTCACCGTTCTGATCTTGGGTTTCCACAACACGGACAGGTGGTTGCTTTTCCCTAGAGGAGCAAAATCAGAGGGTGCGCAAAAATAATTGTCGAGGTAAGTTTTTTATCAAATCCAATGTAACGTTGCCACGTGTGTGAAATTTAACAGAGTTTAACGACTTTTTTAAGATTGGTTCCGTTCATAATGTTCATCAGGTTGAAATCTCCCATCACACAAAAACCTGTTAACAAAAACAGTTACGCCCCCTCCCCCCACCATGTCTATCGTCACTTAGAGAACAATGAATAATTAGGAATGTTGACTTGATTTGGGTGATGGTGAGGTGAAAACCATGATTTGGTGATTACTGCTATAGGCCTACTTAGCCTGGGTTCCAGGCCCTAATTTTAGGTTACTCACTCTTTATTGCACTTAGTGCGCGCCATACCTAATTTAATTGGCGTCCCAT